AGATGCCTGAAGCTCCCCCTCCTCCAATGTTGTTTTACTGGTAGTTGTGTCAGTATTTTATAGTTCCGCCTTTGTTATTTGTTTTGTCGTCATCCATGTTACTTTCATTATCCGTCGTCATTTTCCCGTCCATTTCCTTTGATTCATTTTCTTTTTCATCAGATTCAATTTTTTTTCTCATCTTGGTCTTTTGAGTCATTGTCATTATCAGAGTCCATTAATTCTATTGATTCTTTATCATCTTTTTCCTCTTTATTTCTTTTTCCCTTTCTTCTTCTTCTTTTCAAGAGTTACTGTATTCCCCTGCATTGCTATCACTACCTCTTCACTCTTATTTGAGGACGATTAAGATAAGGATTGCGCCATCTTTCTCTTCCTTGTCCTCGTCCTTTCTTTGGCTACTGGTGTGGATGTCAGGGGGTTTGATTCCCGTCAAGTCTTTTAGGATTGAACTTTGTTCTTGGTTTGTCTCCGACTCTTCCTTGTCCTCGTCCTTTCTTTGGCTACTGGTGTGGATGTCAGAGGGTTTAATTCCCGTCAAGTCTTTTAGGATTGAACTTTGCTCTTGGTTTGTCTCAGACTCTTCCTTGTCCTCGTCCTTTCTTTGGCTACTGGTGTGGATGTCAGGGGGCTTAATTCCCGTCAAGTCTTTTAGGATTGAACTTTGCTCTTGGTTTATCTCCGACTCTTCCTTGTCCTCGTCCTTTCCTTGGCTACTGGTGTGGATGTCAGGGGGTTTAATTCCCGTCAAGTCTTTTAGGATTGAACTTTGCTCTTGGTTAGTCTCCGACTCTTCCTTGTCCTCGTCCTTTCTTTGGCTACTGGTGTGGATGTCAGGGGGCTTAATTCCCGTCAAGTCTTTTAGGATTGAACTTTGCTCTTGGTTTGTCTCCGACTCTTGCTCTGATAATCGGAAGAATTTGTTTTTCCTTAATGATGTCGGTGTTTATTGTATTTGTTATCTCTCCGATGTTAGGACTAAGGTAGTTTTCCAATTCTTTCCCTTTTAGGGTTTCTAGCTCTGTGTTAACTAATTTAGTGTTTGTCTCCTGTGGTATTTTATCTCGTGTAGACAAAATCTATGTATACTCTGTTGCTGTCCCCCCCCCAATCACTGTCTCTGTCTCTGTCACAGTTTTCTTGTCTGTTTGTTATGTTTGTTCTTTTTCTATATGAGTTACTTCCTCTTGTCTTGTCTGCTTTAAAGCCATGAAAATGTTTCCTTGTATTTCGTCATGTTCTTCTTCATTAAGCTTAACATTGCTACTGTCATTGATTATAATGTTGGCATTAGTTTCTTGGGCAGGTGCTGGTTGATTTTAACAGTCTTTTGGTCTATCACCCACCTGCTTACACCCAGAACAAACTCTCTCTAGTTCGCATCCCCTTTACGTGGCTCGAACTAAGAACCACATAACAAAGAAAAATGTTGGGATTTTCTTTGCATTGTCCTTTAGCATTGTGCCAATTCTGACCCCACGATTTTATTTCATTAGAGCATCAGATTGTAGCCATTATATGGCTTATTACCTCTGCTGTTATCTTATTTTGGATCTTGTCTACAAGCTCGTCATTTTTTTATTTCCAAAGAGAGTCCTGTTATATATATATATATATATATATATATATATATATATATATATATATATATATATATATATATATATATATATATATATATATATATATATATATATATATATATATATATATATATATATATATATGTGTGTGTGTGTGTATGTATGTATGTATGTATGTATGTATGTATGTATGTATGTATGTATGTATGTATGTATGTATGTATGTATGTATGTATGTATGTATGTGTGTGTGTGTGTGTGTGTGTGTGTGTGTGTGTGTGTGTGTGTGTGTGTATTTTCCTTCCCTCAATTTCCCTCACAATAGGATTTATCTCCCCTATCGTTCTTTTTTGGGGGGAACCAGACAGATACCCTTCCCACTACTTAGCCGAAAAAAAGAATATCTAAAAAGTTTATGTATTCGTGTTTGCCCCCTGATGTGTTGCTATGTTTAATTTGTTTATCTGATTCCCAAAAAATTAATTTCCATTAAATTAAATTTTGTTGGGGGCATTTTGTCCTTCGTGTCTTCAGAAGGTTCATTTATCCGATAAGGCTTTTTTTTTCTTATCTAAGTCATTCCCCTTTATCTATAAAGTAACCTTGGCTGGAGGTTCCCTATGTCCTGTATTTGCTATGCGTATGGTGCTTTTGTATGTTGCTATATATTGTATTCTTGTAAGGACAGCCTACTATTCCAAATTCATTCAGTTTTTCTACTTTATTATATGCATCTCTGCATCTCATCCTTTCTATTATACTCTCCCCTTCTTCCATTCTTACTTTTAGTTCATTCATAGATGCATATAATTTGTTACTCCCCATTTAATTTATTAAATTTTTTTATTCAATTTGGAATTTTGAGGTCAAACATTGTGTTTCTACTTATTTAAAATTTTAAATTCTAATGTTCTAGTGAATGTTCTTAGTGTTTCGTCTGCCTTATCAATTTGAGAATTTTGTTGTTAGAGAGCCAGGGTCCCAAAGTTTTTAAAATCGAACCCTACCTCCCCACATTTTTTTTTCTAAAAATCTAATAAAAGGCCGTAAAAATAATTTCGAGTAAGTCCACACATGGTGTTTTCTGAGGCTCTTCCGCAGGCCTGCTCACATCGCGTGTCGCCATGTGATATAGCCTTACGTTGTCCTTATCCCTTACTTCCTCCAAGCGTGGAGTTACCTGTAAAAGGAAATACAGTTTGAAAATATATTTAAAAAAAACAAACTATCTTTTACTTCCTTATACTTATAACTTGACCACATTTATTTATTGTATTCAGAATAAAACTTATTATTTTCATATATATATATATATATATATATATATATATATATATATATATATATATATATATATATATATATATATATATATATATATATATATATATATATATATATATATATATATATATAAAGAATACAAATCATATGGCGAATAACAACCCTCTCAAGCGTACTGGATCCACCAAGGGATCACGTCTGTCAGGGATTAATTAAAATAGATGCAATAAACTGACGACGAACAGTACGAAACTAGTAACTAACTAGCCTAAGCGCTTTCGACTCCCAATGAGTCTTTTTCAAAGGCAAATACAAAACATAGTTACGACAAACAAATAAACACAAAAACGTTGCGTTTGTAAACCTCTACATTTCTATCTTCACATGTGCTAAAACTATAAATACAACCAGCTTGTATAGACTAGTTGCGGAAACTCTAGTCTATACAAGCTGGTTGTATTTATAGTTTTAGCACATGTGAAGATAGAAATGTAGAGGTTTACAAACGCAACGTTTTTGTGTTTATTTGTTTGTCGTAACTATGTTTTGTATTTGCCTTTGAAAAAGACTCATTGGGAGTCGAAAGCGCTTAGGCTAGTTAGTTACTAGTTTCGTACTGTTCGTCGTCAGTTTATTGCATCTATATATATATATATATATATATATATATATATATATATATATATATATATATATATATATATATATATATATATATATATATATATATATATATATATATATATATATATTCTAGTTGTTTGCAATTGGTGTCCAAATATAATAGTTGTTCTGTTCTATATGCCCCATATTTTTTAAGAATGTTAATGATTTCTTCTCTCTCGTTTTTAATTGTTTCACAATATACTATAACATGTTTTTAGTGTAGTCAAATTTCTTGCATAAAGGACACTTTGGTATAGTTTTTATCATATTTCTCCTGTTTGCTATATCTCCAGTTAGACATGCATTATGTAAGAATTTGAAAATTATACTTTGTATTTTTAGAGAATTTATTTTAGCCCACAATTTCCAAATGTTTGACCAATTTAACCCCCACACCTTATTTTCATTCTTACATCTTTTATTTTTATCAAAAAGTTCTATTATTATTTTATACGTATTATTTTCCCCCTCCCATACAATATCAATGTCTCTATATTTTATTATTTATATCCTTTATATATTGTACTCTTTTAGGGATTTCAATTATTTTACTAATCGCATTATTCCTGTATATTTCTTGGGGTTTTTTTAGTGTGTACTAAAAAAATATAAGTAAATTCCTTCCCAAGGTTTCATGATTTTGGGTTTAATAATTTTAAAACGTTCTATAATATTTAAAAATTATACTTTGTATTTTTAACGAATTTATATTAGCCCATAATTTCCAGATATTTGTCCAATTAACCCCCCACACTTCATTTTCAATCTTACATCTTTTGTTTTTTTTTAAAAGAGGTTATATTATTGTTTTATATGTATTAATTTCCCCCCCTCCCATACGATATCAATATCTCTATATTTTAAAATAATTTCCTTTATATATTGTAACCTTTTTGGATCTTCAGTCGTTTTACTAATTGTATGATTTCTGTATATTTCCTGTTTATTTTTGAGTGTATATTCTAACCAATATAAATAAATTCCTTCCCATGGTTTCATAGTTGTAGGTTTAATTCTTTTAAAACGTTCTATAATATTTGCAACTTTTTTTAAAACCTGGACACGGTAAATTTAATCCACCTTTCTCCATTGCTCTGTACATAGTTTCTTTCTGAATATAATGAGTTTTAAAATCCCATATGTAATTAATTATTTCATTATCCATTTTCTCTAAATAATTATTGTTAAAATCAAATGATTTAAAAACATTTAATATTGGAATATAAATACGTTTTTGCTATTTGTGCTCTTTCCATTATACTTAGTGGCAATTGTGCCCAGATTTCAAGTGACTTTTTAATTTTATTTATTAACAATTTTTCAGTCATATCACTACAATGTCTGCAGTGTGGCAGTTTTTAGTGATGTTTAGCATCGGGGCATCATGCCGCAGACATTTAGCATGATGTCCCACCCAGTCATATTATCCTAACACCAGGCCCACCAGTCCTAACACTAACCTCTTAATGCTGAGCGTCGACAGGGGATAGAACCCATGACCTCCTGCATCCGAGGCGGACGCTCTAACCACTAAGCCAATGGAGC